CATTTAAATTATGGCATATTTGTGCATTGGAATATTACATAATCATTAAAACATGCTATATATTGGCATAGAAAGACAAATGAGATATTTTAAGTGGAATATATACTTCAGTATATATATATATATATATATATATATAATAATTCTACTTTTAGGGGGAAAAGGAAATATTTATATAGAACTACTGAAAAAAAATCTGGAGGGCTGTATTTCAACCTGTTAAAAGTGCTTAGCTCTGGGCTGGGATTATGACAGATATTTTGTTTTAATTATTTAAATTGCCCGGCCAGCATGGCTCAATGGTTGAGCTTCGACCTATGAATCAGGAGATCAGGGTTCGATTCCAGGTCAGGGCACCTGCCCGGGTTGCAGGCTTGACCCCCAGTAGGAGGCATGCAGGAGGCACCCAATCAATAATTCTCTCTCATCATTGATGTTTCTATCTCTCTCTCCCTCTTTCTTCCTCTCTGAAATCAATAAAAAAAATATTTTTTAAAAATAAACACTCCTGAATTATTTTTATTTTGTCCAATTTAATAAGATTTTATGCTCAAGGGGAATTGGTTATTTCTTCACCAAATAGAAAAGAAAGTGGAGAAGACAGTTAAAATGGTTTCCCTACACTGAATGTTTGTGTGTCCCCCCAAATTCATATGTTCATGCACTAATCCCCAATATGGTAGTATTTGGAGGTGGGATCATTGGTTTTGAATGAAGTTATGGGGTGGAGGTCCCATGATAGGATTGATGCCCTTAAAAGGGGATAAAGAAACCATGGCTGTCTCTAGCCATGTGAGGATACAGTGAGAAGGCGGTTGTCTGCTAGTCAGGAAGAGGGACCTCACCCAAACATGACCACACTGGCACCCTAATCTCAGACTTCCAGCCTCCAGAACTGTGAGAGAAAAAAAAGAAAAGAAAAAAAAAACACGTTTGTTGTTTAAACCACCCAGTCTATAGATCTTGTAGGCCAAACTGACTAAGATAATGAGATTCATGGTGAAGTAACTTTGAAGAAATATTTTTCAGGATAGATAAGACTTGAGCTTGTTTTAGGCCCTGGGAAAGAAGCCAAAGTGGGAAGAGATTTGGGAGGGTGAGGGGAGCATTAACCAGCCAAAGTCCCAGAGGGGCTGGAACAGTACACCAGTATCAGGGCTAACTTTAGAAAGAAGGAAAGGACAAAAGGCCAACTTAAATGAAGTTAGGAAATCTTTTTGAAGAGGGAAACAAAAGGTATTAAAACCATTGAACCCATGTGTTTTCCCAATGAATTGGGAGAAATGATCATCATTGGAGTAGGAGGGCTGGGACTGGGAGCTGGAGGGGTATAAAAGAGGTATATTGCTGCTGGATAGAATGAAATAGGCACGCTATCTGAATTATCAGTTATGCTCATGAAATTCTTGATCTTTATCCCAGATCTACCAAATCATAGTCTCTGAAGGTGGGTGATCCTAATGCACACTAAAACTCTGGAACCTTTGAAACTAAAGGTTAACTAAGGATATGGGGCTGCTGCTGATGCTAGATAACGATTATTTGAAAGAGTCAATTAATACATTTGTATGATTTTCTCCAGCATTATTGAGAAAAATCAATAGCTGGATATACCCAGAGTTGGGCTTTGGCAATGTGGGTGTAGAAGTTAAGTTGATGGATCAATGGAACTTGAGATGCTGGTTAGTGCATCATTAACTTGGGTAATCACAAGGTAAGAATAGGGTGGAGAGAGAGGAGTTGGACTGGAACTTATGAGCAGGATGTAAAGCAGATTTCTAAAAGTCAGAGAGTGGGTGAAATGCAAGAACTACAAGTTCTGGTCAGTGAGATGTGTCCTGGTGTAAAAGATTTTGAAAAGGAGATGGTGACACAGTCCTCATAGTGGCCATCGAAGGAGCTTCTGAACTACTAGAGTGGAGATAAAGTTGACCCAAGTAAAAGAGGTCAGAGTGTGAGATGGTTATCCTTATGAACACCAGGTTTGTTGGATCCAATGGGTAAAGATTAAAGTGGAACTCAAGACCAAACCACATAGCGAAGAAGAAAATGTTAGGGTCAGGAAGGGTGAAAAAAAAGTGTGACTGTTGTTTGAAGATAGAATAAAAAGTAACAATAAAGATTTCATTGTTCTCTACCTGAGCATGAAATGTTCAGCCTCTGCTCTCTTCAAACTTTCCCTAGGTAACCTCATCTTTATTCATGGTCTTAATGATCACCTCTATGTGCACACAGGCCTTCCTTCTGAATCCAGATCTGTATCATTTTCTACTTGACACCTATCAGAAGCACCAGAGAACCCCTGAGGCTCACCCTGCATTAGCAGAGTTCATGATCTTCCACTGCAATCCTGGTCCTCTTCCAGAGTTTGCTCTCCCATTGCTTATCACCTCTTCTCCACAAGCCAGGATGAGTCAGCAATCAACCTTGATGAGTCCCTTTTCCTTATCTTCTACCCATCAAGACTTCCAATCCTATGTAATAAAAGCCTAACATGCTAAGTGTCCAGCTGTTCTTTTGACCGTTCAACCAGTCACTATGACATGCACTGACCACCAGGGGGCAGGCACTCTGACTGGTAAGTTAGCTTGCTGCTGGGGTCCAGCTAATGGGGACTAGGAGAGACGGGGCCAGACACACCCTAGTCTCCCCCGCAGTCCCTCCCCTGCCGGCCAATCTTCCTTGGTCCCTCCCTGACCTCTAAAATATTTCTTCTAATTAATTTCCTTTCAATGTGCACGAATCCATGCATCAGTTCTTTAGTTTAAGATGTAAAGAACTCGCCCTAACCGGTTTGGCTCAGTGGATAGAGCGTCGGCCTGCGGACTGAAGGGTCCCGGGTTCGATTCTGGACAAGGGCATGTACTTTGGTTTCGGGCACATCCCCAGTGGGGGTTGTGCAGGAGGCAGCTGATCTACGTTTCTCTCTCATCAGTGTTTCTGATTCTCTATCCCTCTCCCTTCCTCTCTGTAAAAATCAATAAAATATATTTTTTTAAAAAAGATGTAAAGAACTCTTGAATCATTCTATTTCTCTCCATTGTTAAAGCCACCATCCAGCCCTAGATTTCTGTAATACCCCACAATGGGCCCACCTACGCCCCCAGGAGGCCCCCTCCAATCCCCTCTCCACCTCACCAGCCAGGATGATCTTTCCAAAACTTAAATCTGTAGGTGTCATGTTCCTGCTTAAACCACCTCAAAGACTTATTATTGGGTTTAGCCCTAAACATGATTTACAAGGCGCAGTAAGGTCTGAGCCCTGCCCACAGCTCCAGGCTCATTTTTGCACCACTCCTTCACTGGGAGCCAGCTGCAATGGGTTTGTTTCATTCTTAGATAGGCATCATTCTATTCCCATCCCCAACCCCCAAGGCCTTTCTACATGTTCTTCCTTCCCTGGTACCTGTCATTTACCCCTACGCTCCCTTTTGATCTCAGGTCAGGCATGATTTCTTTGGAGGAGCCATCAGAGATCTCTCCAACAAGGTCCAATCTCCCTGTTATAGTCATTCATATCCCCCAGTTTTATGGCATACATCTCAGTTGTGATTTCACATATTTCTGTATGTGTGATTATTTCACTTACGTCTGTCTCCCTCACTAGACTCTTAGCTCATGACGGCCAAGAATCCTCTGTGTTGTTGCTAAGCACATGCAGGGCGTGACACATAATGAATATGCCATAAATATTTCTTAGATGAGTGAATGAAGAGACCAAAAACCACCTCTGCCTGGTGTTAGCTATAGTCCCAGTAATAAAGGTTTGTTTCTCCTGTCCATCCCTTGTGACTTGGGACTAGTGTGGTCATAGTGGACTCTTCTAAGCAATGATATCCATGATAGCTTAGCCAGCAGTTAAAGCCAAAATGCTTTATTCTTGCCCTGGCTCCATAGTGGTGTGCCCTCAGACAAGATATGCATTTTTTTTTAGCCCTAAACTCTGTGTTTTACCTACAGATCAGGTGTCTCCTTTTGCCTTTGAACTTTCAACAGCTGTTTCTCCAAACCTCTCCTCCTTCCCTTCCAGCCTGTCTCCCAGGCTGGAGATGACTGCTGGCCTCCTGCAAAGGTAGGCGAGGTCCTAAAACAGAGCCAGCTCCTCTGTGGGAGGGTTGGGAGGAAGTGTGGGACTGCCTTTGTATTCAGAAACAACTGCTGGATTCTATTTCTTCAGACAAACTCGTTTTGAAAAGAACAAGGCTTGAGTTATTGACATGACAAGGAGCTAGTTCTAAACACTGTTGCCTGAAAAGGTGTAATTCATCAAACTGAAAACCTAGGAGCCCGATTTAGGTGAATTTACCCCCTTCCTTGTTTAATTGGGCTCACATATATTCAGATTGATCTCTTTCTAGTTCAGTGACGTCTAAGCAGTCTGCGTTTTCAGGCTGCTATTGTTTATTTTCTAGGTAGTTTGCCCAAATATGTCATGGGAAGTGAAGGGGCGAAACTTGGTTTTCAAACTGGAATGTTTCTTCGGAAGAAACTCAGCAAGTTGCCTTCTCCACCTTTCTGATTCTTGGATCCCAAACTATCCTCGGTAGGTGAAGTGCAGTTTCAGACCCCATCCTGTGCTATAGACTCGCAGTGTGAAGCTTGTCATGGTCTCTCTGTATGTTAATTTCTCCATCCCTAGAATGGATGCAATGGCTCCTACCAGTCTCAGGGACACATCATTAAATCACGGAAATGATATCAGAGGAAAACGAGAATGACTCATCTCGCAGAAAGGCATAGCTATATTTTCTTCGTGTTCTCCAATGTGCATGAAAATCTCGTTCAGAAAAGATGTACCTGATTTGACAACTCCAAGCTGCACCGCAACCACCCACTTCTGAATAGGAGGGGGAAAAAATGAGAACCATTTCTGTGTGCCATTGTGTAACACAGAAATCTCTGGCCTGGAGCCCATCGCTGTGGTTTGGCAACACAATCAGCACATCTCTTTTTTCATCTCTTGAAGAAAAAAAAAAACACAACACACAACCCAACAGAGAGAAAGCACCTTGAGAATAAAGGTAATGATTAATCCATCAGGCACAAAAAAGGATAAAAAGATCCTTTTGGGATTTCAAAGCTTTTAACTCACTAATTTAAATAAATTGCAGCGAACAGGGAGTGACAATTTCACCAGGAGAGGATTAAGTCACGAGCTGTAATTGGGACAGTGCGGAGTCGAATAATCTTATCAGAGTTCGCAAGGTATTTATGAGCAGTTGTCAAAACTTCCTTTTACACGTGTGAGTGAAGTAGGGAGCAGAAGAAGCCGGTACTGGTGGAAAGAGTGGTCCTTGAAGAAGCCACACAATGCAGCCTGAGAAGGAATGGAGGAGGAAAAGCTTCAAGCAGAGACTGGTGTTGAAGAGCAGTTTGGCTAAAGAAACACTCTCTGAGTTCTTGGGCACGTGTATAATGATCGTGAGTATTTTCTGATTTTCGGATTTCCAAACCAATAACGCCTCCCTATCAACCTAGTTCCTGGTGGAGAGTTTTGTTTTGGTTTCTTTAAGTTTGTCGGTAGATTCCTGTCTTCCAGGAAGAGGCAACTTACTTCCAGGCTGTTTGACTACTTAATTGTCTCAATATTAGGTTTCCATTTACTCATTTATTCACGAGAGCTGGTGGGAGTGGAAGAGGAGGGAGCTTGAAGTACTTTTTTTATTTCAGAGATTTACTCGGACTCTAAGGTGGCCTTGTGATTAATGTCAGATATGAAAAAATTTTTTCATTGACTCATTGATTTATACCCTGTTTGTTTCACTTGAAATAAGTATTGACAGCCAATAAATATGGATGGTAAGAAACAGTTCATTATTGTGTTGATAGATCACTTGACTCTTAAATTAAAAATTGCACAAGACAGAAACAGTGTACTGTGCAGTAGCCCAGCTTTGGCTTTGCACCATTTTCCCCTCTAACTCAAGCTAATCTCTAAAGACCTTTAATTAGACAATTACAAGAACCTTCTACATATATAAAGGAAGGGCCGATTCTAAACCTCTTGAGGATTTTATCTAGAGATTTGCACAGCTATTAATAAAACATTAGAAAATTTACTTGAGTGGCATGGGCTTTAGGTTTTTATCCTGTTGCATGTTTTCCCACATTCTCTGGACCCTGAATTTTCAGTTGGAGCCAGACCATTTGTTTTTGGGTGTTTGTGTGTGTGTGTGTTTAATCCTCACCTGAGGATATTTTTCCATTGATTTTAGAAAGAGTGGAGGAGAGAGGGAAAGACAGAAATAGCGATGTGAGAGAAATACATCGATAGGTTGCCTCCTGCATGTGCCCAGATCAGGGCCTGGGCCTGGAGGAGCCTGCAACCCAGGTACATGCCCTTGACCAGGATCAAACCGGGGACTATTCAGTCTGCAAGGCGGACACTCCATCACTGAGCCAAAACGGCTAGGGCATGGTGCCAGACCATTTGTGAACAGAAAATTAAATCTTTGATTATTCTCATGTGTAGCAACTACTGATTTTAATTTGTTTTTAAAAATAATCTGCTCAAGGATTCCCTACTCCAGGTATAAATAATTTGATTTTTCTTAAGGTAATAGAGAATTGCCCATAAGCTTTATACATTAAAAGTTATTTGGTAAGAAAAAAAATAAAGAAAAAAGTTATTTGGTAATGTACAGCATGGTGACTACAGTTGATAATACTGTATTGTCTATTTGAAAGTTGCTAACTAGATCTTAAAATTTATAAGAAAAAATTATAAAACTATGGTGATGGATGTTAACTTATTGTGGTGATCATTTCACAATATATACAAATATCAAAATATTAGGTTGTGCACCTGAAACTAATATAATGTTATATGTCAATTATACCTCAATTTTTAAAAAGTTATTTGCTTTGGGTAAATATATAGTAATTTAGGAGAATAAGCCAAAATTGAGAAATGAATGTGAACTTGGGAATTGAACTAGCATAAGATGAGAGAGCCATGTTTTGTGGTCTCTGATAGCTTTTTTTATTATTATTTAATTCACTCAAGCGTTTTAAAGGCATTAGGGATGATTTCTTGTATTGCTTCTGGGCTGTCCTTACCCACATGATTGCGTAGGGGAGATTGTGAAGGAAAAGAGACAATCAAAGCCCAGGATTCTTTTGATGTTAGTTATTGCTTCCTGGAAAATTGTGCTCAAGGAGACAGACACCCTCAGGTCGGGGTCACGTTACTTGACAATTTGGTCCCAAAGAGGAGAGTGGTTGTCACCCTGACTTCTGCTCCACAGAAACCTTGCTTCCAGAGAAAGTGAAGCAAGTTCAGTTACAACTCTTGAGTGTTCTGCAGAGTAGGAAGTAAACACCCATTTTGTAACCAAAAAAGTTAAAACTTTATTTCTTAACAAGAACCTGTTGCATAATCCCATCCAGTCTAGGTTAAGTAAGTGAAAATTGCTTTCAGCCATTCACTGTTCTACTGTTAAAAATCAAACACAAAATCCAACTGTGTCAATATAAAGATCTAATTGGCTTTATGAAGTGATTCAGAAATTGGGCAGCATCCCATCTTAGCAACTAGAAGGAGGGTCAGAAGAGTTATACAGAAAGGAAGGTTTTATAGGCAGAAAGAGGTGGCACTAAGTAATTAGAGTGGATTAATTCAGGCCAGACCCATTCCTTTAGGGTAAGTCAGGGTGTTATTAGGAAGGTTTTATATAAAAAGAAAGGATCATTTTTGGATCAGGACATCTTTGGGGGGAAAGAAGGGAAGGGTTTTTAACATGCAAATTGCCTCTTTCTATGGGTTGGGGTCAATGGAGAGGGCCCACAGCGTAGATCCTTACTGGTGCTAGGCCAGAAAATTCCAGAGTGGTTGATTAAAATTATGTTTCTGGCCCTAGCCGGTTTGGCTCAGTGAATAGTGTTATGCCCAGATTTCAAGATTCCCAAGAAACCACATCAGGGAGCCAGCCAATCCGATGCAAAAGCATAAGAATCTGTATTTCAAGCTAGCTTGTGCTCCCCATCCACCAGACTCACCGACACCACGGCAAACCGAGTAGCTGAGAGAGAGAGAACCCCGCCTAGAGACCGGTTATATAGGGGGGGTTTGAGTAAGGGGAGGAGAAAGGACTGTGCTCTGCCGATTGGCCAGGCGCAAGTCGATGTCTTGTTCCTGGGTGTGGCTAGCAGAGTCTTAGACTTCCGGGAAGACGCTCCTTGCCAAACACGTGGCCAAGGTAAGATGGAGGACGTAGCCCTTACCCTGGGGCAAGGTGGAGGGCCTAGCCCTCGCCCTTTCAAATAGGTCGGCCTTTGGACTCAAGGGTCCCGGGTTCGATTCCAGTCAAGGGCATGTCCCTTGGTTGTGGGCACATGCCCAGTGGGGAGTGTGCAGGAGGCAGCTGATCGATGTTTCTCTCTCATCGATGTTTCTAACTCTCTATCCCTCTCCCTTCCTCTCTATAAAGAATCAATAAAATATATTTTTTTAAAAAATTATGTTTCTGGAGAGGTTGAGACTGCAATTAAATCAGGCATGGAATCTAGTTTAGGTATCATGGCTTTCAGCACAAGTGACCATTTTGGGCCTGTGGTTTTCTGTTTAAAAACTACTCCTACGGCCCTGGCTGTGTGGCTCAGTCAGTTGGAGCATTGTACCATAAGCCAAATATCTCTCTCTCTCTCCCTCTCTCTCTCTCTCTCTTCTTCTCCTTCCTCTCTCTAAAACCAATAAAAACATACCTTTGGGTGAGGATTTTTAAAAATTAAATTTAAAAAAATCCCCACTCACCGAAACCGGTTTGGATCAGTGGATAGAGCGTCGGCCTGCGGACTGAAAGGTCCCAGGTTCGATTCCGGTCAAGGGCATGTACCTGGGTTGCAGGCACATCCCCAGTAGGAGATGTGCAGGAGGCAGCTGATCGATGTTTCTCTCTCATCGATGTTTCTAACTCTCTATCTCTCTCCCTTCCTCTCTGTAAAAAATCAATAAAATATATTTTAAAAAAAACACTCATACAACTAACACTGTCTCTTCCCCTAGTATTCAAGAGGGGAGCTAAAGAAATAATATCTTACTATTGTATGTTGAAAAATTAGCCTTTGTATCTTCTGCCTAAAGCCAATCTATTCTAGTGAAAGGCTTGATTTCCATGTATACTGTACGCTTATTTAAAGCAAACCCTGATGAAATCTATGATAGTGATTACAAGCTCCAATTTTGTTGAGGCCTGTGGGGATGTACAGACAAGTTGCCACGCTGATGCAATTATTTCTTAATCCATAAATCTATATGGTTTTGCTCAAAGATTTCCAGAGTAGTTGTCTTTGCTGTATTAAAAAATGTGCATTTTGCCTTGTTTTTTCTAGTAAAAAGCTCTGCATTCTGATAAGGCGGGGAAAGGGAGCCTTAAACAGATGGCAGAGGATGTTCAGGACTCATTAGTGCAGTGGTTCTCAACCTTCTGGCCCTTTAATACCGTTCCTCATGTTGTGACCCAACCATAAAATTATTTTTGTTGCTACTTCATAACTGTAATGTTGCTACTGTTATGAATTGTAATGTAAATATCTGATATGCAGGATGGTCTTAAGCAACCCCTGTGAAAGGGTCGTTCGACCGCCAAAGGGGTCGAGACCCACAGGTTGAGAACCACTGCATTAGTGCTTCAGGTTTGTGGAGCTGGTCCCCCTCCTTCCCCTGCCTGCACCCACCCCAATCTCTCCCACCCTGGGAGTTTGAGGCCATTTCCCCCACCAAAACCAACACAAAACAAAACAAAATGCTCTTTGGGGAAGCCATGTCACTTAAACTTCATTCATGTCATGGTGTCAATGACTAATAAGGCCCACTGGTAGCATTAAGGGAAGAGATGGCCCATGAGAAATTCTTGGTGAACTACAGCTAAAAACAATAATTACATCATAAGCTGAGGAACTAGCTCGAATTTGGCTCTCTAGGCACTAAGATAGGTAGGTCTTCTTGCCTTTGCTAATGTCAGGGAGGAGGTCTTATTATCACCCATAAACAGTTGGAGAGATGAAAGCTCAAAGAGATGAAATAACTGGCTAAAACCTGAAAAGCAGTAAACTGGGATTCTTTTGTATTCTAGAGCCTATACTTTCCACACCCATTACTGGGAACTATTTTAGCGGTGTCCTTGATAGTAAGACTCCCTCTGCTTTAACAGATTAGAGCCATAGCTTGCTTGAGGGCATGTGAGTTGCTCATGGGCATGTGAGTTTAAACCTGTAAGCACTTGAGACCAAATTGTTCCTTATACCCTGAAGCCAATGTCTTTACTTTCTCGGCAGCTGAAAAGACTGTTCATTGCAGGTAGAGAGGTATGAAGTGAAGGTAGAGCTCAGGCCCATGCATGTGGGCTCATGGCCTGGTGATTTCAAACTGCACCTTCAAAACGCTACATGTGAAGTTCCTGATACAAGAAACACTCATTCAA